CAGGAAGTTCCGACAATGCTAGCAATCTATCCATTAATGCAAATGGGCATTTTCAGCTCAATTCTGCTTCGCTCAAATTAAAATTTACCACTCTGACACTACGGTTTATATTACTAAAACAACAAGATATCCACTCCTTTCCTCTCTTACTGAATTTACGATTATATACAAAAAAAAAAATAAGTAATTCAGCACAAGGATAGCGATTTCACCCCGATTTTTCAAAATTTTCAATTTTTTCATCAAAAATTCTCAATTTTAAATTCAATTTCAAGACCAAATTCAAAAAAAAAGGTCAAAAAAAAAGATTTTCCAAGCCAGGTTAGGGGAACAATTTGTGCCGAGATATCAAGATTAATCGTTTCGACCAAGTCCCTATCATAAAATTGCTGCAAAAAAACATCTTTTGCTTCATAAAAAAATCGACTTTTCCGCCGAAAAAACTTACAGTTTGCTTGTAGGCATCTCTATCCCGTCGTATCGAGTCGAATTCATGCCTGCTCAATGCACCTCCCTCAAAAGCACGGTTCTGTTCCTCCAGATCTTCGATCATTCGTCGTGCTTTTTCCATGTATCGTGTCAACCTGTCTTTTTCGTGTTGAATTTGTCGTTTTGCAGCTGCCAATTCATCTGAATATTTCATAGTAACTGCAAAAAAAACCCTGCCTTTAGCTTTGTATGAAAAAAAACATAATTTTTTCGTCATATCACCTGTCATTTTTTCAATAAAAAAAGTATCCTTACAAGTCCAATTTTAACAACCCATAGCAAAAATTCAAGTCGAATAAAGAGAGGACATTTGATGTCTTGAATACAAATGGAAAAATACTTCAAAGTTGGGAGAAGACAAAAGCAAATAATATTAAGAAATTAGTAAATATTGTAAAATAAGTAAGGCTGTAATTTTTCTTTTCTTCAAATTCCCACAGATTCAACGTCGCCTTAATTTCTCAGCCAAATTCGGTGTTCCTCTCCTACATCGCTCGTTAAAACTATTACCCTATCGTTCACAACAGCAATAATTCAACAGGATCTTTTGACTTTCACATTTAAAAGAGAAATTAATGCACAAACACAAAAGAGGAAGAAAGGGAGAAAATTATTATTTTATAAATTGGTATAAAATGTTCCGATCCTTG